TGTTAATGTCGGCACTTACCTTAAATAATGTCTCTTAATCCGATCGTCCTCTTCTTTCCTGTCCTTTTCAGCCTTCTCTCCAGCGCTGACTCCTTTGTCCTTGCTGGCGCTTCCTGTCCCACGGTGTCTGCATGTGGCTGCACGCCGTCCATAGACTTACCTTGCGTCTCTCCTCGTCTCCCGGCCGAAAATCCGAACTGCGCATGCGCTCGCCCCAAGATACTTTGCAGCCGCCCGAGCATTTTCGGACGGGAGCGTGCAGCGAAGACACAGGTAAGTTTAAACCGCTTTAAAAAAAACTTTTTGCATATATCTACTGCTTGCTAGCCGTATATATATGAAAAAATGAATATTGAAATGCAGTAATCAACCGCAAATTAAGACAAATAGACACACGATCATTTCCAGGATAATACAAGCCGCAGATCAGCCAAACAATGAGTACACAGGGGACTTTTTTTTCTGGATAGATGAGAGTTCTGGTTGAATACCGGATAACAGAGTTTACTGCATTATGCTTTTTCATAAAGTGAACAGCTATTGCATTCCTAAATCAGTTTATTTGTAAACTGGATAGATGTTACTAAAAACATACATGGTTCTAATTTTGTCAGTTTCTGATATTCGATCCATGGGTGACCCTGCCGACACCACCTGACTCAAGAAAGGTCGTTTTTCCTATCAACTTTTGTCGAAGATAGCAAGTGGAAACTTGTTGGCCAACAGTGACAGCTGTCATTGTTCAGATATTCTGACAGCCGCAGGTGCTAGCTGTCTGCTTACAATAGCCCTCAGGGAAGATTCCTCCATCCATGCTGTTTAGGGCAGGTTCACACCATTTTCCGGACAACATCAGGATCCGGAAAATGGTGTGATCCTGCCCTCAGTTCCAGTGCATTTCAGACCAGACAAAATGAGACATGCAGTATTATTCTGGTCTGGAACGGACTGGGCCGGTGTGAACAGAGGCCAGAAACAGCATAGGGATACATTAGGATGCACTTTGGGTCCGGAAACAATCTGGTTTGGTCTGGGGATGGATGTGGTGTGAATAGAAACTTAGTGTGGATGGGGGAATCGTGTGTTTTCTTCTTGTTCGGCCAGTGGTGTATGGCCAGCTCTATGAAGGCACAAAGTAGTCTGACCTTACCTGCACAGTACCCAGAGGTAGATGATACACTTGTGAAACATTCTCTCTCTGAAGGTGAAGGTAGGTAAAGGAGTCTGACTGTAAAAGGTCTAAGAACAAAAAGATAAATAGATGATTATAGTTATTACATGTCCATGTCCAGGGTTCCTACACACAGGCAGCAGCTTCTCTTTGAATAAAGAAAGCATTATAACAGGCGAGCACTGACCCCGGTGTTACAGAATGATGCCACATACACATATACTTCATGTCTATTCCCCTTACAGGTAAGTCTTCATTATAATAAGATTTACCAGGTCAGTCATGAGTGGGTTGTAGTAAGCACAAGCGGAAAATCTCCCCCCATGAATGCCAAGAGGGTAAATATACACTGAAAGTGATCGTTCAGTTTTGGGTGAATATATTCACTGCATTATTCCCCATTTGATTTTTTCTTACAGCTCTTGTCATGGTCATTACAATGCTGCAAGACCACAGTCATTTATCTTATATTAAGGATAATGAATTAGGTGGAGTAGGACAACCTCACTTGGGTATATAATGGCTATGAAAGGCAAGCAAAGCCATAGACGATGCTGGAGAAATGTTTTGCTACAGCCTTAAAGTGCAACTGAAGCCCAAACTCCTTTTTTTCGTTTTGGATGTATGTATAGCACCATCTTTGTTCCAGGTACCAGGTACCGCCAATTATCCATTTTATTTAGACTCACAAGTCGGCCTGCATATGTATTGAAATTAGCTTTTTTAAGAGAAACTCCAGGATTTTCAAAAGTTAACCCTTGCAGTGGGACTCAGAATTGAGAAAGCTGGTTGGATGACCAGTGAAACGTCTTGAAGAAAAATACAGCAAGTCCAGTTGCCTTGACTTATTTTTTACAGATATACCATGGCCTGGATGAATGAGAATCTTCACATCTCTGCCCTGATGAAGGGACCCTGCGTGGTCACGAAACGTTGGAATATGCGATATGTGTGACGTGTCACAGTCCAAATAAATGGAAATTTCATTTTCGGAGTGCTGGTGATTTCTATTGGTCAATGACTGTTGTACACGGCGCCATCCGTGATTGTCACTGCGAGCACCACTATTTTCACTTGGACCGGAAGCACTGTAAGGAGTGCAGGGGGACCTACTGTTATCCGAGAATCTTCACAGACATGTAATGTCCTCCTTATATTGTAAAGCTATGTGCAAACTGCTGGCCTTATACATATCCTGCATAACAATAATAATACCTGATCCTCAATCCCATCTGGCTGCTAGACCGATCCTCATAGCCTCTTCTACCCCTGGGCTCTAGAGGTCTAAACCTTGCTGATATCATCAGGTCTAATGTAGGCCCATTCTCCAGCATTAGATGTGAGATAGCCAGAGCGGAGGGGAAAGAGGACCGAGGATCGGGTGAGTATCTTCTTCATTCCATTCCCAAGATCAAAATGAGCAGTTAACCCTTGCAGTGGGGAAGTAGCCACACTGGAAAGGTTAACTTTTGAAAATCCTGGTTCTCCTTTAAACTCGCATTTCTTTGGCCCTGTATCGAAAGGCTTTTGTTTGCATCAAAAAGGTTTTGTATTCCCATACAAGTAAATGGGAACATCAAACCCACTTGAAGCAAGTCCACTGAAGATCAGAAGGAGGTCAGCTGCAGGCCAAATGCAGCTGTCAAACTGAAATCAAACTGATGCAATCGACACAAACCCAAAGTGCATCAACACGGGTTCTTTCATTGTGGTTCTGGGAAGTGCACCTGAAAGCCTGAGAAATAGGTTATCTTACAGTATATGTCATGACAATAATCCATGTGGAAGGTGACACAGAGAAACACTAAAGACTGGGTAAAGGAATGCAGGTTAGTCAAATTGCACAACCATCCATCAACACAATAAAAAGTCAGGAAGAAACAAAAAAGGGGATAAGCTTGAAGTTTAGTAGAGCCCTTGTGCAAGAAGAACCCTCTAGCATTAGTAAAGGACAAACGTTAGTGCTTATGTTGTGCTAACCAGACACACAGCTGACAATCACTTCAACACAGCCCACCTCATTGACTGCAAACTTCAGTCTCTCCTTCTCCTGGTGCTTGAATTTCTAATAAGAGGGAAATAGGACCACAATTACCTTCCAATCCAGCCAAGCAGGCCCCTAAAAACTGCAAGAATCCTATGTGGAGAGATGGGGCAGCAGGGGCATAGCAATGGCAGTCTTTGGGTTGTAGCTGTATGTACTATAGAGGATTCTATACAGCTCCCTAGGCATCATATTACACATATGACATGACTCTACTGAAGGACTATGCTGTAAATGTGACAACATATGAATCTCTGTAACCTTAAAGTTTCTTCATAAACATTTCAGAAAAATGACTGAGGGTGAAAGACTATGCTGTACATCTGCATGGGGCACCACTTGCAGTACAAAATACTGCTCTGTAAAGGGTCAGCTACCCTAAAAATATTTCAGTCATACATGGACTCTGCCTTAAAAAAAAAAAAAAAAAAAAAATGTTGTTTCCCCCCCCCCCCCCCTATGTTAATGTCGGCACTTACCTTAAATAATGTCTCTTAATCCGAACGTCCTCTTCTTTCCTGTCCTTTTCAGCCTTCTCTCCAGCGCTGACTCCTTTGTCCTTGCTGGCGCTTCCTGTCCCACGGTGTCTGCATGTGGCTGCACGCCGTCCATAGACTTACCTTGCGTCTCTCCTCGTCTCCCGGCCGAAAATCCGAACTGCGCATGCGCTCGCCCCAAGATACTTTGCAGCCGCCCGAGCATTTTCGGACGGGAGCGTGCAGCGAAGACACAGGTAAGTTTAAACCGCTTTAAAAAAAACTTTTTGCATATATCTACTGCTTGCTAGCCGTATATATATGAAAAAATGAATATTGAAATGCAGTAATCAACCGCAAATTAAGACAAATAGACACACGATCATTTCCAGGATAATACAAGCCGCAGATCAGCCAAACAATGAGTACACAGGGGACTTTTTTTTCTGGATAGATGAGAGTTCTGGTTGAATACCGGATAACAGAGTTTACTGCATTATGCTTTTTCATAAAGTGAACAGCTATTGCATTCCTAAATCAGTTTATTTGTAAACTGGATAGATGTTACTAAAAACATACATGGTTCTAATTTTGTCAGTTTCTGATATTCGATCCATGGGTGACCCTGCCGACACCACCTGACTCAAGAAAGGTCGTTTTTCCTATCAACTTTTGTCGAAGATAGCAAGTGGAAACTTGTTGGCCAACAGTGACAGCTGTCATTGTTCAGATATTCTGACAGCCGCAGGTGCTAGCTGTCTGCTTACAATAGCCCTCAGGGAAGATTCCTCCATCCATGCTGTTTAGGGCAGGTTCACACCATTTTCCGGACAACATCAGGATCCGGAAAATGGTGTGATCCTGCCCTCAGTTCCAGTGCATTTCAGACCAGACAAAATGAGACATGCAGTATTATTCTGGTCTGGAACGGACTGGGCCGGTGTGAACAGAGGCCAGAAACAGCATAGGGATACATTAGGATGCACTTTGGGTCCGGAAACAATCTGGTTTGGTCTGGGGATGGATGTGGTGTGAATAGAAACTTAGTGTGGATGGGGGAATCGTGTGTTTTCTTCTTGTTCGGCCAGTGGTGTATGGCCAGCTCTATGAAGGCACAAAGTAGTCTGACCTTACCTGCACAGTACCCAGAGGTAGATGATACACTTGTGAAACATTCTCTCTCTGAAGGTGAAGGTAGGTAAAGGAGTCTGACTGTAAAAGGTCTAAGAACAAAAAGATAAATAGATGATTATAGTTATTACATGTCCATGTCCAGGGTTCCTACACACAGGCAGCAGCTTCTCTTTGAATAAAGAAAGCATTATAACAGGCGAGCACTGACCCCGGTGTTACAGAATGATGCCACATACACATATACTTCATGTCTATTCCCCTTACAGGTAAGTCTTCATTATAATAAGATTTACCAGGTCAGTCATGAGTGGGTTGTAGTAAGCACAAGCGGAAAATCTCCCCCCATGAATGCCAAGAGGGTAAATATACACTGAAAGTGATCGTTCAGTTTTGGGTGAATATATTCACTGCATTATTCCCCATTTGATTTTTTCTTACAGCTCTTGTCATGGTCATTACAATGCTGCAAGACCACAGTCATTTATCTTATATTAAGGATAATGAATTAGGTGGAGTAGGACAACCTCACTTGGGTATATAATGGCTATGAAAGGCAAGCAAAGCCATAGACGATGCTGGAGAAATGTTTTGCTACAGCCTTAAAGTGCAACTGAAGCCCAAACTCCTTTTTTTCGTTTTGGATGTATGTATAGCACCATCTTTGTTCCAGGTACCAGGTACCGCCAATTATCCATTTTATTTAGACTCACAAGTCGGCCTGCATATGTATTGAAATTAGCTTTTTTAAGAGAAACTCCAGGATTTTCAAAAGTTAACCCTTGCAGTGGGACTCAGAATTGAGAAAGCTGGTTGGATGACCAGTGAAACGTCTTGAAGAAAAATACAGCAAGTCCAGTTGCCTTGACTTATTTTTTACAGATATACCATGGCCTGGATGAATGAGAATCTTCACATCTCTGCCCTGATGAAGGGACCCTGCGTGGTCACGAAACGTTGGAATATGCGATATGTGTGACGTGTCACAGTCCAAATAAATGGAAATTTCATTTTCGGAGTGCTGGTGATTTCTATTGGTCAATGACTGTTGTACACGGCGCCATCCGTGATTGTCACTGCGAGCACCACTATTTTCACTTGGACCGGAAGCACTGTAAGGAGTGCAGGGGGACCTACTGTTATCCGAGAATCTTCACAGACATGTAATGTCCTCCTTATATTGTAAAGCTATGTGCAAACTGCTGGCCTTATACATATCCTGCATAACAATAATAATACCTGATCCTCAATCCCATCTGGCTGCTAGACCGATCCTCATAGCCTCTTCTACCCCTGGGCTCTAGAGGTCTAAACCTTGCTGATATCATCAGGTCTAATGTAGGCCCATTCTCCAGCATTAGATGTGAGATAGCCAGAGCGGAGGGGAAAGAGGACCGAGGATCGGGTGAGTATCTTCTTCATTCCATTCCCAAGATCAAAATGAGCAGTTAACCCTTGCAGTGGGGAAGTAGCCACACTGGAAAGGTTAACTTTTGAAAATCCTGGTTCTCCTTTAAACTCGCATTTCTTTGGCCCTGTATCGAAAGGCTTTTGTTTGCATCAAAAAGGTTTTGTATTCCCATACAAGTAAATGGGAACATCAAACCCACTTGAAGCAAGTCCACTGAAGATCAGAAGGAGGTCAGCTGCAGGCCAAATGCAGCTGTCAAACTGAAATCAAACTGATGCAATCGACACAAACCCAAAGTGCATCAACACGGGTTCTTTCATTGTGGTTCTGGGAAGTGCACCTGAAAGCCTGAGAAATAGGTTATCTTACAGTATATGTCATGACAATAATCCATGTGGAAGGTGACACAGAGAAACACTAAAGACTGGGTAAAGGAATGCAGGTTAGTCAAATTGCACAACCATCCATCAACACAATAAAAAGTCAGGAAGAAACAAAAAAGGGGATAAGCTTGAAGTTTAGTAGAGCCCTTGTGCAAGAAGAACCCTCTAGCATTAGTAAAGGACAAACGTTAGTGCTTATGTTGTGCTAACCAGACACACAGCTGACAATCACTTCAACACAGCCCACCTCATTGACTGCAAACTTCAGTCTCTCCTTCTCCTGGTGCTTGAATTTCTAATAAGAGGGAAATAGGACCACAATTACCTTCCAATCCAGCCAAGCAGGCCCCTAAAAACTGCAAGAATCCTATGTGGAGAGATGGGGCAGCAGGGGCATAGCAATGGCAGTCTTTGGGTTGTAGCTGTATGTACTATAGAGGATTCTATACAGCTCCCTAGGCATCATATTACACATATGACATGACTCTACTGAAGGACTATGCTGTAAATGTGACAACATATGAATCTCTGTAACCTTAAAGTTTCTTCATAAACATTTCAGAAAAATGACTGAGGGTGAAAGACTATGCTGTACATCTGCATGGGGCACCACTTGCAGTACAAAATACTGCTCTGTAAAGGGTCAGCTACCCTAAAAATATTTCAGTCATACATGGACTCTGCCTCCTTGTAGCGCTGTATAGGTGATTGTAATAATCAGTAAATTGTAGCTATGACAATAAAATAAGGTCCACAGAGGACATAAAGACATTAAAAAATTTAGTGTGCCTTTACATGTGTGGTCGGTGGAGCAATGGCCTTTTCATTGGTGGCTGTCAGTGGCATAGTGGGCTCCTTTATAGGTGTTCAGTATAATAGTGCCCCCTTACACTGGAAATCGGGGTTTCCCTTTACACTGGTGGTCAGTAGAAGAAGATCCCCCTTACAATGGTAGCAAGTGGAAAGTACACTATATGTTTTTCAGGGGTTGGGCTTGGCCCCTTAGCTCCAGTGAAGGGAACTCTTTAGCCATCAGCAGACCAAGACATTTTGGACAATTTCATGCCCCCAACTTTCTGGGAACAGTTTGGGGATGTGGGGGTTCCTGTTCCAACATGACTGCGCACCAGCGTACAAAGCAAGGTCCATAAAGACATGGATGGGGGAATTTGGGGTGGAGGAACTTGACTGGCCTGCACAGAGTCTTGACCTCAACCCGAAAGAACACCTTTGGGATGAATTAGAGCGGAGACTGCGAGCCCGGCCTTCTCCTCCAACATCAGTACCTGACCTCACAAATGGTCAAACATTCCCACAGACACACTCCTAAACCTTGTGGACGCCTTCCCAGAAGAGTTGAAGCTGTTATAGCTGCACAGGGTGGGCCAGCTAAATATTGAACCCTACGGACTAAGACTGAGATGCCATTAAAGTTAATTTGCGTGTAAAGGCGTCCCAATACTTTTGGCAATATAGTGTATGTTTTGCTACAATGGTGGTCAGAGAAAAGCTGCACCTTGGCTGAGAACCCTGGCTGAGAAAGGCTGCATAAAGCATGGCCAACGATGAAGGCCACAGGAGTTTGCACCTTTAAAAACAAGTCAGCAATGGCCGCTTTCATTTTTCTATTTAGACACAGTCCATTTAACATGGCAGAAATCGAAGAGGAGCCCTCTGTGATCAATCTAGAAGCATAGCACATGAGAGATGAGATTGCTTAACTTTATCTATTGGACTATATCTTGTTTTGTGATATACAACAACTGTTTGAAAATGTCTCTGCACACCAACATATGAATGAAATGGGGGGAGGGGGGGGGCATTTGTGCTGGTCATTTTAGCTCCACTACATTAGCCAGAAGCAGCCATACTGGCATACCTGACACTTTTAAAACAGATCCTTTAGTGAAATAACTAAAGTAATGTACCTCTGCCTCGGATGCCATTTCATAAACAGAAGAGAGAATGCTTCCCCCTCTGTGATTGTCTCACCTCAATGGCTGCGTAGGCTTCACGGAACATGATGCGGCTGCTGACGCTGCAGTAAATGCAGCCGAGGGTCATGAAAAGGCAGAAGGAGAAGAAGTAGCGGTGGTTGTAATGGCCGACACAGTTATTAAGCCACGCTGAAAGGTGAGGAAGTTAAGAATCCTCAGTCTCAGAAAGGAAACATGCTATTAACTATTGTGCTAGTTAGTCTGCTATATCCATTATAATTGCTAGTGTAAGTAGGTTTTCCTGGAGCATGTCAGAGGTTCCGCAGGAAGCAACCAGCAGACTACGGCAAATGTTTCTTTTATCGTCATACTGGAAGTACTCTGAATAATAGTCTACCTCGATACACTGACACCATTTCACTCAGCCCTGTGAATAATGCACTTCCTTGTGTCACTACTCTAACTAAGCCTTCCGTCTGATCTTCCCAAAGTGACATCATCATTGCTTGCTGGAAGCAATGCAAGATGGGATATGTAGTCTTGGGTAATTAGATTGCATCACATCAAGCAGCAGAGAAAGAGGCACAAAGCGCACTGGGAATCCAGGAAGCTGATGAAAGTAAAGGGCAGACAGAAAACAGCACTCACTACATAAAAGGGATTTTTTTCATGTAAGCTTTGATTGTATTATTACAACCATCTCTAGTATGTATTCCTATTACCGTCACCACTCTCTACAGGGAGAAGATAGTGAACTGAGCAATCAGCGGTTTGTGATCACTCAGTGTATTTCATCTCCCAATAGTCCTTTAAAAACTCCTCAGTCCTATGGCAGCCAGCGTACTTCCTCAGTCACGCTCCTGGCTTGGAATTGGGGCAGACCATCGGGATAACATACAATGCAGGACCAGTAGCAGTATTGTATGTAATAGTGTCAGTGAGGGGCAGCCGCACAACTGGAGAAGAGGTCATCAACTAATGTTCCAGTGGGGAGGCAGCCCGTAGGAGCGAAGAAAAGGGGTTTCGGTTTTCTACAATAATGTAAAAGGATACGACAATGATGATCCATTTTAAGAATACACCTGTGGAGAGAGCACACACATTAGAACTCATAAGTCAAAAGGTAGACCTTGTATATAAAAAAACTATATTCCAAAGATATTATCTGAATACCTCATATGGTAAAGTTACTGAAATGTGTAGAAATACACACCTGTGTTGGAATCTACAGATATTTAGATGCAAAGGCAGACAATTCAGTTCAGCATTTAGAAAACATCAGATAGTTAAGATATTCAGATGTAAATGCAAATGATCAGTTCGACTTTGAGCAAATGCCAGGTAGCAATTCAGAAAGGGCCGGATTGGTAAAACCTGTCTTCTGGCCACGCTACACAACATGTCTGTAAAGCTCTTGTCTGTGGTTGCCACACATCACCTGACAGTTTCTTTCAATGTACGAGGTGCTTTGTAACTACAGCTATAGAAATGAGTTCATATATAACTCAACTTCTGCTGGTTTCCAAGTCCACACATGGCAGCACACAAAAAAAATTAATTGGGAGTCGTTAACAAAAATAGAAAGCCGAGCGGAAAGCTAGATTCCTTGACCCATCACATGACTGGCTCTCTGCTGTGTTTAAGGCGACATTAAACCTTCGGGGTTTTGTTTTATGGTGGGCAGACTTGCACAAAAAAAAAGTTATTTCATCCTTTATTTTTAATTTCCTTGTTCTCAAGTGGTTTACAGACCGCAAGCCCGTCGCCCCTGTACAGGTGCCTCCATCAGCTAACCAACTGCTGTGGAGGCACCCATATGTGCACGGTCATGGCCGTGCCTGCACCTAGCTGTGTGTGTCTGTAGACACACACAGCGTGCAGCTGGTCAAATCCCCAGCCCTATGGCTCCTCTGCCCTCGGTCACCGGGTCCCCTCCTCTCTCGTGCAGATGTCGGGCTCTCGATCCATGACGGAGTGCCCAACTTTTCAGAGGGGGTGTCTGTCAGTCATTTTGGTGTCACCCCTTGTGGCACCGCTGTATGGCTATCCTAAGTAGTAGAGTATGAATTCTGGGGTGGGACTTGGGTTACTCCCGAGCTTGTATCTGTTAATATAATAGCAAGATATGTCTGCTACCCAATTCCCAGAGCATGAGACTCCATAAAGGCGATTGTCTGCTCGTCCGGAACACTCTACAACGTGAAATAAAAGTAAAATCCCAGAGTGGGTGAGACCCTCTCCTGCCGGACAAAGATGGATGCAGAAAAGGCGGAGTCTTTATCATACAAAAGTCTGAGGAGAGTTCACACTGCTTACAACATTGACTTTGCACAACTTACCTATTGCAAATGCTACAGTGGTGTGTCCGGGCGGGTTTGGGTGCAATGCATTTCCTGCACACGGACACAGATGGGACGTGTTTTTGAGCCTGCTGAGATGGAGAAAGGGGATGTTGTGAAAAAGGCAGCCATGTGTTACAAGATCTACGGGATACTGGATTCTCACCCCACAAAAACTGGTACTTTAGTTTTAGATTGCAGGTTAAATTGTCTCCCAGTTTCATATTTGAAGGATTCCAACACAATCTCCAGTTCTATTCACATGATGTGAGCGGGTCTCTGTGTTTGGGGTTCTCATTTATCATATGTAAGCGAGAATGCAACAAGAGGAAAGAGACTCCCTAATGAAGGACATATTTCAAATCCTCTCCAGTGTCAATCCATTAAGCCCAGGCAAAACTTTTTTTTTTGGATACAGTAGGGAAAGGTTAGATCCACTGTCAGGATTTTACTGCAATCTGTCTCCCTATTGGGGAGTCTTCCCTTACTTCCTGTCAGGACAGGAAGTGAAGGGAAATCTCTCCAACAAGGACAAAGACAAAAACACAAACTTAGTAAAGTGGGGAAGAGTCATAACTTCTGACAAAGTTTTTAAAGCTGTCCATGCATTTCTGTCACGGTGACCACAGCTTCTTTATTTGTCCTGGGGTCACAGGGATTGGATGGTAGAGAAAATCTCCCCATTAGCTTCAAAGCCTGACTCTGTTCCCCATTCTATCCAAAACTATAAAATATGGCAAACCTTAGGATTAAACTGAGATATTTGTATTGGGTGGAGAAACCCTTTAAGTGTATTTCCAATTTTGCATTAAAATTTAGGAAAACTATATGTTATGAAGGGAATTTGTCAAAACTGGAGCAGACAGAAACTGGAGTATATGTGCATGGCAACCAATCAGCTTCTCTCTTTCATTGTCATATCTTAACTGAACAAACTGTAAAGACAAGCTGATTGGTTGTCATGCAAAGATTTTCTCTGCTCCAGTTTTGATAAATTCCCCTCAATGTATTTACACTGTATATCTATAAATAATATAGATTTCTGACCTTTTAGCTATTTCTTTGGTGAAGCCCTTTGTGCAGATTCCAGGCCACTATGAGCAGTTTCAAAGTGAAAGTGGAGGGACAAACTGAGGGACAGCCTGAGCTTCCTCTCATTAACCCTTTCGCTGCCAAGGACGTATGGCATACGGACCTACAAAAGTGCTTCCAGCTGGCCAGGTCAGTATGCCATACGGACCTGGCATTTACAGTTCTACTATAAGCTGATGGTCGCTTTAGCGACCATCAGCTTATAGTATAACTGTTCAGCAGACTGTCCCCTTTAAATTAATAGCTGTCATCAGCGGCTCACAAGCCGCTGATGACTGCTATTATCAAAAATACCGGGCCCACCCCCCAGGGAGGGATGAGGTGCACGGATACTGATTTTGGTGTGTTTTAACAATTGAATTGTGTATTTTTATCGGTTTAATATTAATTTGAGAAACATTTGCGCAATTATCGCAGGGCCTACAAATTTAGTATCACCATCTTTTTATTCTACCGGGCCTGCGCTTTCAGAAAATATATGGTTTGGGGGGTCTTTTACAAACGCTAGCAACGCAGCAGTTGAAAATCAAATCAATAGGAAAAAATTGCAGAAAATTCAAAAATGGCTTGGCCAGCTGATTTGAAAAATGTTCCGGAGGGCTTGGCAGCGAAAGGGTTAAACAGACAATGCTTCTAAGTCCTTAAACTCTCAGACTTTGGATCCAGATCAAACAAATACGCATTGCCTAGCAAAGTATTTCTTTAAAATTTTGCCCAAGCAGTTGGTCATCCTGTTTCATAACAGCTCCAACTCGCTCAGCTCCACTTCCCGGAAATACCTGTCCAGTACAAGATCACAAGGGACAAAGCAATCTCCAGGAGTTGTCCGTCTACTAGATTGCAGGAGATAGAATTCGAGAGGAAGGGAGTTGGGAGCGGCTTGTCTTGCTGTGCCTGTGTGCTTATAGAGACACTCACAGCTTACTAATACACACAGGGGTGGCCCCATAGGACCCTGCAAGGGAAAGGAGCCATCCTAAAACAGGATATGAGGGCCAGTGCTCAGGGGACAGGAAACAAACTTTTAAAGATCAAGGAGCAGCATCTATTGTAAGTGACATCAGCATTTGAAATAGCTTCAAAACATTTTGACTAAACTATCACTGTAACCCTCTGTTAGGACAGACAGTGTTCAGATATAGTTTACAACTGATAATTACATTATCATACAGGATTTATATAGCGCCAACAGTTTGCACAGCAGTCTAAAATATAATCTGCCAGCACAGTACAGACGGGATTGATTACAGTACACATAATAGGGATGCACCGATACCACATTTTTAAGACCGAGTTCCGATACTTTTGATCAAGTACTCGCAGATACCAATTACCGATGCTTTTTCTTAAAGGGACAGGTCACATTTTTTTCTAAAGCAATACAAACTAATGCTTTAAGGTCACTTTCTTAATATTATGATTCATGAGATGACGAGGGAGCCTGACGTCGGCTTGCTGGCCAATCAGAATGCCGGGCGCTGCGTCATTACACGGCGCCCGGATTTGCTAGCTTCCTGACCAATCGGGAAGCCGGGCAGCGCGCCATTGCACGCTACCCGGCTTCCTGATTGGCC